TCACACCGTGGTTGTAAATCCACTCTATTACACGCCTTCTCCTCCCTCAGAGTCTTCCACGACTCTGACGGACTTGAACAGTTCTTCGTACTCGCTGACCGTATACCAACGTCGTCCATCGTTCGTACAGTCCGTTCCATTTTTTAACTTGGCTTGGTGTTCGTGCTGGCCGTAGTTCATATTCAAGGACATACTGGCCGGCGCTGTTCCTTCGTCTTCGCCGTCGCAGTTCCACCATGACGCCACTCTGTTCGTGCTTGTTCTTCTGACTCTCCACTGGTCGTTCACCTCGTTTCGTGCATCGGCGTGCAGTCGCTGCATGTACTGGAGCCTTCGCTGTTCCAGTAGCTTCTCTTGCCGCCTTGTCATCTTCTTCGCGTTCGATTGAGCCTTCATACTCGAGCTGTTCTCCGATATCGGCAACCACAATACTCAGTAAATCGGTAGGATAGTGATAAGAAATCAAGAAAGACACGTGTGCCAAATACTGCTCGTTCTTGTCGTCACCGTCCTCTCGTTCCACTAGAAAGTTGTCGTATCCCGCAGGTTCAACAATCCTCAATGGTCCCAGCCATTGATACACAAATTTAGACGCCGCAGGTCCACGTGGAGGCTTATACATCCAGACGCGATCGCCTTGCTTAAACGTCCGTTTCATTTTCACTTTACGATTGTAATATCGCGCCTGACGTTGTTGTTCTCGTTCTTTCGCCTTCGCAGCGCACGCTAAACTATTCTTCATTGCAGCTAATAGACGTCGATGATAGTCCGTAAGTTCCCCCGCCTCTGCTACACTCGCTCTCCGTAGTAACTCGTTAGGATTTCGTAGACTTCGTCCCATCATAAGCTCATTCGGAGACAACTTCACCGTCGAGTGTTGTCCAGAGTTGTACGCATAGATGGCGAAGTCCACCCACACGTCCCAATCGCACTGTCGTTCGTCGGTCATATACGTAGCTACACAATCCTTCCAAGTTCTGTGAAATCGCTCCACTAACCCGATCATTTGAGGTCGATATGGAACAGGATTGATCTGCTGCGCTTGCAACATGATCACAAGCTGCTCAATTGCTTTACCAGTCAACTCTGGTGCGCCGTCAGTAAGTAGTTCACGAAATGGTCCAAAACGTAGAATAACATGCCGCATTAAGAACGCTGCAACGTTCTCCGCTGTGTGTTGTCGAACCGCCACTGCAACTGCATATCTTGTCACGTACTCAACCGCTGCAATCACGAATCGATGCCCACCGTCATTATTAGGGAGAGGACTAGCTACGTCCAACGCCCATCTATCACCTACATCACCTCCATTCAAACTCCGTAATGGTGGAATCACCTCGCGTGGACGTGCCTTTCGGCTCCCACATTCCTGACATCCCAAAACCCAACGCTTAACTTCCCGTTCGAGCTTTGGCCACCAATAAACTTGAGCAATTCGAGCATACGTGTGTGGTGCTCGAAGATGTCCCGCCCAGACAGAATCATGGCATTCTTTGAATACCACCGACCACAAACTTGGAGGTAGTACGACTCGTCGCCCTCTTTGTGTTTCTATGAGTACCAAGCCGTGCTTCCTCACTATCTTCATGTTCCTATGCTCGCCCGAATCCAACAACCGCTGCACCAATCTGCTCTCCGCCTGCGCATTCGTGATCTGGTCGTCTGTCAACTGTAGTGTAGGTTGTCGACTCCGTCCTTCGTCTCGACGCATTCGTGATGCTCGTTCTTCCCCTGTCACCGTTGCTGTCGATCTTAGTGTTTGTACGGGCGTCGCATTTTGCTGCACGGCATCACTCGTACTCACTATTCGTTTACTCGTCGCTACTGGTTCTTGGCGTGCTGCGTCAGCCATTCTCTTCTTCGATCGTCCTTCCACCGTAGTCGTAGGTTCCATCGAGACACTGGTTGTCTCCATCACCGGTGTTGAAGCTCTCGCCTCATTGTCCGTCCTATCATGCTCTTTACTTCGTTCTACACCGTCCTGACCTTGTTCATTTCGTCGTTGCGTTTCTTCAGCAAGTCGTTTCGCTGCTCGTGTCCAAGGACGCGTTATCGGTATTTCTGCCGTCGCTTTCTTACTACGCTTTCGTCCTCGTTTCACGTCCTTGCTGG